GGTTGTGTCGGGAAGGTGAGCATCACAGGATGCCAATTTAATAGAAGAAAGTATTCTTGCGTTGAGGGAGTACTTGAGTGGAGGGGATGGCCATTTCTTCAGTGAATAATACACACAGGGTTATACAGGGAACTAGAGACACTTCCCCTAATTCACCATCAAGAATATTTCTCCTACTCCACCCAGCTACACAGAAAACCACTCCTCTTGCTTTAAGTCGTAAGATCATTTTGATAGCTCATCACTTCATTTCTATCACAAAGATGATCAATTACTCTGAGGATCTAGAGAAGAAATGGGAAAATGTTTTGAAATGATGGCAGCATCTTTGCAAGTTCGCTTGATGTAACTGATTTATGGGTTGTTAGTCTGTAAGAGCCCCCAATAAAATGATCAATAGAAAAAGAAAGAAAGAAAGAAATGGGAGGCCTCGCAAGAGACCTATCTCTCTTGAAAAGCAGCTAAGGACACATCAAAATCCTTAATAAACGGAGGAACCCATTTGAGAGGGTCTCCTCTGAAAAGACATTCATCTTTCAAACTTTCCCTTAGGGCTCTTTCAGCTTTCCTCTTAAGAATCCTTGTATTCCAGGTACTCAGAGTCATATGTACTTCCCAAACCAAACAATATACAAAAATATTACATGAGCTAGTTTTTCCAAATTGCTTGCTTATTAATTCAACTCATTATTAAACTAGGCAGTAGGTGATCTGTCCATTTCTATCCCGGTATTTTCCTAAGGTCTCAGAGTCTATCTGTACAAACTAGTGATAATTATATGCTAATCCATAGGCAATTCATTTAAGACGACAAAAAAGTGATAAAGAACTTCAAACCCAGAGTGAACAACAATGCAGGTATACTCTTTACGACACTCAACATCAGCTGCGAGACGTACCGTACCTGTAACAGTACCTTTCAAATAAATAAATGTACCCATCAACCATGAGTTATATTTATTTCAGAAACAGCAAGATCCGGAAAAGCCTTCCTCTAAGAGACGAGAAGAGCCTAATAAAGAAAAACTCAAGGTAGCATTCAAGAGGCCCAGTAGTAAGGGCAGAGAAGTGGTATTTTCCTCACCACTGTCAACTGCAAAAAATTTAAATGAAAGAAAATAATATATAAAAATCATTTACATTATTAGGCATAAAGGAAAGTGGTACTTCTATTCCTGGTAAAATTTTCTTTTTCTCTCCAATAATAGAACCCAACTTATTTCATAACCCATGTTTTCAGTAAAAAAAATACCATCCAGGATTAATGGCAGTTAATGGTGGTCATAGTATGTCAGTACAGTTTGTGGGTAAGATTTTCCAGGAAACTCTTTCTCTCTCCCACCCCCCCTTCTTAGAGATGCCTGGAGGGCAGGCACAACAGCCAGAGCTCTGGCAGCCTCTGGGTCTTGAGGACTTCACTAAGGACAGCGGAGCCGCGTGAACGGAAGGAAAACGGTCCAGGGACCCACCCAGAAGCTAGGGAAAGAAGCAAGAAGGCTAGAGAGAAAGCAAAAGTGACAAGCAGTCCTTGTTAGACTTGCATGCATTGACTTTATCCCAAGGAATTCTACATGGGAAGATATGGCATGAACAAGAAAATTCTTAAGATAAAATATGTATCTATACAGTCTATGAAGCACACACTTAAGTTGTTAATTAAGACATAAAAGCAGGACATAAATAAGGAATTATTGAACGCTTTATACCATTCTCTATGAAAATAATGTAAACACTAGGATTTTATCTAATTTTTCTCTTCAATTCCTTATTATTAAGTATCCCTGAAACAGTACATAATCAGCCCATGGCTTTGAAAATGACTGAATAAATGAATAATAATGTCAAGTGAAGTTATTAAAAATGACGGAAAGATGTCTTCCCCTTTAACTTCCATTCGAAGCAGCCCTAGTAGCAGTCTTTGAAGCACTCAGGTGCTAGACAGAGGTCAGCAGCTAGAACCCACCAGCCACTCTGCAGGAGAAAACTCTATCAGTTTGCTTCCAAAAAGACTACAGGCTTGGAAACGTTCATTGTTCAATGTTATCTAATTGGTTCCAACTCATAATGACCCTTTGTACAAACAAAAGTTGCCCAGTCCCGAGTCTTATAATTCAGCCCATTGTTGCAGCCTTCCTCTTTTTCGCTGTCCCTCTACTTTACCAAGCATGATGTCCTTCTCCAGGGACTGGTCTCTCCTGATATGTCTAAGTAAGAGACAAAAATCTCACCATCCTTGCCTCCTCTAAGGAGTAGTCTGGCTGTACTCCTTCCCAGACAGACTTGCTTGTCCTTTTGGCAGTACATGCTATTTTCAATATTCCTGGAAAGCACCATAATTCAAATGCATCAATTCTCCTTCAGTCTTCCTTGTTCAAGGTCCAAATTTTACATGCACATGAAGCTACCGAAAACACAGTGGTCTGGGTAAGGCGCACCCTCGCAGTCCTCAAAGTAACATCCTGGCTTCTCCACACTTAACAGAGATCTTGAGCAGCAGCTTTTACTCAATGCAATGTTTCACTTGATCTGAGCAATTAATGTGGATCCACTTGTTTGTATACACCATCAATGCTTCTGGAAGCAGCGATCGAGGAACATTGGAAAACCGATGGGTCAGTTTTACTCTGTCCAACCCGGACTCTATGCGTGGAAATTGACTCAGCAGGACTGGGGTTTAATTTCCACTCAGTCATGTTCTCATGATTCTGCTAACACGGGTTCCACTGCCATCAAGTTGATGCCAATGATGCCCGCACACAGCGACCCTACAGGACAGGGCAGAACTGTCTCTGTGGGTTTGGAGGCTGTAACTCGTTACAGGAGTAGACCCTATCTTTCTCCTGCAGAGATGCTGGTAGCTTCGAACTTCTGGTCTCGTAGTTAGCCGCCCCAACTTGTAACCACTCCACCCCTGGGTCAGACCCTGTGGAAGAAACAGGCCTTGCTTTCTTACCTTCTGTTGTTGGAAATCCTTCTTCCCCTTCAGTTCTTGTCTCTGTCAGCTTCCCAGTTCTCAGCAACACTTCGGCAAAGCTTTCTGCTGGAACGTGCTGATAGGTGCCGTGGGTCCCTTCCGACTAGACAAGAGAGGCAGTCACACAGCTTCAGAGGGTGGTGAACACATCAGAACTTCTTTTTGTATCAACCTATATCAGAAACCACCATTTTCTGTTGTGCTGACGTGAATAATAACTTCTCACTTACTAAAATAAAAAATGTTAAGTAGACTTTAATCTCATAAGAGGTCCTAATAAAAGTGAAATAAATGACATAAAGCCAATTATATAGTAAAGAGCAAAGCAAAAAGAGCACATTTTCAAAAATGTGGGTTTTTCCACCTGGCCACAGCAGCATGCCAGTGAAACCTTACACCCTTGGCCTTGGCCTCACCTCCGTGAGAAAAGGATCGGAGATAACAGATGCATAAAATGGATGACAGCCTTGCTTTCCTAGGTCTTCATTCGCTGTGCTCCCACCGCGATAAGCACCGCCAAAACCCTGCTCCTGAGGAGAACAAGATGAAGACAATAACAAACAAAATGGGTGTGTGGGTGAGAGAGAGAGAGAGCAAGGCTCCTTCCAGGAGAAATCGATCACAGTGCTTTCTGTGCGTGTCAGCGCGTCCGGGGCACATAGACACACAGTAGACAATGTAAGAACAGTAAAGTACATTCTGAGAACAGCACTTCACCCTCCACCCTGCAGGTGCCTTTTGGAGTTTCTGGTCACTCTGACATCAATGAAACAGACACACTGGAGTAACCTGCATTACATGCAGGGTCATTTCTCTACACAACAGTCAGAAAGAGTAATCATTCGAAACATGCTGTACATGTTGATTCCCTGTTTGAAAAACTGTTAGTGGCTTTGAAAATGCAAACTCCCAACAGCATAAAATCCAAATTTTGTAGTGACCTTGTTGTGTTTTTAAACTTTTTATGGTGAATTCAGTGACGGTTTACAGAGCAGAGCATCACTTTTACATTCAACAGTTCATACACATTTTGTTTCAACTTACCCGCTGCAATCACCTCCATGGACCAGCAACCTAACTCTCTTCCTCTCCAGGTTTCCAGTTAACAGTCCTCCATCTTGCCTAGCCCTCTCTCTCTGGATTTGGTCCTGGGGTAAGCACTGTCCTTTTGAACTTAAGTAGATGATGATTCTAAATTGGAGGTCAGCTCAGTTCCAGACTGGAAGGGTGACTCAGGACCACGGTCTTGGAGGTCCCACCAATCTTTGCCAACCTGCAGTCCTTAAAATGTTACCTTTTTCTATTCTAGTTCGCAAATGCTCTACTCCAACTAAACTGATCTCCTTTCTCCCACCGAGAGTCCTGTCCATGACTATTACCTCGTTAGATCCAACTTGTCCTTCCACGGCCCACTGAGACCTCGCCTGCTGAAACCTTACCAGATCAACACAAGACCAGGAAGATATGGCTGAGCACCCTTCATCCTTCCCAACTCCTCTACAACCATCACTCTCGGGAATACTGAGTATTTCCTGAGCCCGTTGTTCCTGAGAAACAGCAAAGTCTAAGAAACCCCACTGCTCCTTGTATTCCAGTAAATGGCTTACGAAACAGAATCACCCTCCCCTGTATCACTTTTTAGATAAAACACGTATATGCTGTAAGGATAAGTACCCACACAGATCAAAAAAGAAAAATGAAAAAACTCCCCAAGATGCAAAATGAGAAAGACATCCTGCTTCCTTTTCTCCGGGTATTAACCTTAAAAAATCTGTACATTTTTCCCCTGCCTCTTTTGAGACGTAGTCAAAATTCAAAACATTTAAAATATACATTACCAGATCAATCCCAACTCACAGTGACCCTAACATGTGAGGGTCTCATGTGGCGCAGCTGGTGGGTTTGAACTGCTGACCCTTGGGTTAGCAGAAAGGGACACTAAGCACGATATCCCAAGGCTCCTTTCAAAATGTACATCATTTCAAAATCTTCCATGAGTCCCTTGCCAGTTTGACAACCCAAGAATGCTTCCTCAAAGACCTGGGAGTCTTTTCCTTGAAACACCATTCTTTTTTTCTTTTTTTTTATGACATGTCCCTTCTTATCTGTATCAAAACTCACACTGCACAATGAGTTTTGGGTTGCAAATGAGGATTTATTCTTGCACCTGTCTTTGAGGAAACACCATTCTTAAGGAACACAACAATCCTTTCCCAGGTTCTGCAAGAGGGTAACAGCCTAAGTTCTGGTAGTGCTTGGCTCCAAGTTGCAAAGCTACTTCCTGTCATAAAGATAGGTGAAGTTACTTTTCCTCTGGACAAAGTAAATTAGCAAACACTAGTTACCTGATAGCTCAATTACCAGGTGAAGTTAACATGAACTGGGTGTTGGAATGGGCTCTCTGGCAGTGGCCTGAGCTTAGTTTTCTGTGTGATGAACAGTGCTACCGTGCCCTGGGACGGGACTCAAACTCAAATTCACTGCCATCGAGTTCAGTCCAACAAGGCACCATTCATCGTGAAACCAGATGTAAAGTGGTTTTAACTGAAATGCCCTCAGCTTCCTTAAACTTTAGACAAGCTTCATCCTGCTTCATTCCCCCTCCTCGATTCTAACAAGGGCCAGGCAACCTACTGACAGCAAAAGAAAGCACCCTGAGGCAAACGACCCTAAACGCAAACGGATCACTGGGCCACCCAGCCCCTCACCAGTTCCCCGAACCAGAACAAACAGAAACTGCACGGAATCATCGCCAACTTACAGCAAACTGACACAAATATGTTCCAAAACTTATTTCATCTACCACCCCCTTTTCTGTGAAAATATTACTCAGCAGCCCTCTGGCAATGAAAAATTTTTGTACAATAGTCCATAATCCAAGATAAGGTGTATGGAATATTTTCTTCCTTTCCTGTCTTTTTAATGAACTTTTGCTTTCTTCATGAATGAAGAAAGGTCTTGATATGATTCAAGAGTTTAAGTTTGTATTTAGAACAATTAAGAAAAAAGTAGCCACACTGCCTTGCATACCTGAAGGGGCCGAAGGTAAGTTAAAGACTTCTTCCACCACTGTCCATCCCTGACGGCTTGCAGCACTGCCTTGGTGGTAGTGGTGGTATTGGAAAGAACTTGCATGGTGGCGGTAGTGGTCCAGTGTAATAGGTCAGCTGAACTGCTGCCTAGAACATTCCCTTCATCCTGTGATAGGGGGTCAAAAAAAGCAAGTCAAACATGGACACTGTTCTTACAACAGAGCAAAGTGACGCATTGAGTGATTTAAAATGTCAGTCTTTCCGTATAAAGATACATAAAATTAAAAAATCCACCCTTTTTAGCATTAAGATAAATGTGAAACAAAGCACCATTTAGTCCCAGTATTTCATCAAATTATGTATTTAATTCAGAAACTTACTAATTTTATCCTGTTTCAGGAAAACAGATGCCACTATCCAAAATAAAGTGTAAGACTTGTCATTTAGGACCTGCAGCGGCAGCAGTCAAAACCTGGGGCGTCCACCTCCAGTCTATGAACGACAGCCTGCTATCTATCCAGCACCTGGCTCTGCGGGGCAACGTCTGGGGAAGACGCCCTCACGTCTCTGGTCCAGCCTCTCCTTCCTGGGCTGGACACGAGTCTGATATAAGGGACATGTTGGAACCATTCAGATCTGAGTCTAATCACTGCCAGTCGAGGGAAAGGGAGGTGGCTGCTTGCAGAATGGCTCATGCAATACAAGCTTTTGGGGAGGGAAGATGCACGCATTCCGCACAGACCAAAGAGAGGTCTCTGGAACAGGCCAGAACGGGGTTGGCTGAAGTTCTGTCCAAATCTGACGATGAGGAATCCCACGTAACAAGCGAGGGGAACTGAGAAAACAACAAATCACTTAATGAGAAATTAAGGATTAAGCACCTACTAAGGCCACAGCAGGGCCCCTGGTGAGACAGGGGTTAAACATTCAGCAGCCAACTGGAAGGTTGGCATGATGAACACACCAGTCACTCCACAGCGGTCTGCCGCTGTAACAATCACACCCCTGGAAGCCCTGTGTAGTTCTACTCTGCTCTACACGGTCACTACGAGTCAGAATTTCATTCAAGAAACAGAGAAACCTGACTGCCGTCCAGTCAATTCTGACACAATGCTACTCTGTAGGGCGCAGCAGAACTGCCCCTGTGGGGTTCTGGGACTGTAACTCTTTAAAAGAAAAAAAGTCTCATCTTTCTCCCATGGAGCAGCAAGTGGTTTCAAATTGTTGACCTTTAAATTAGCAGCCTAACACATGACCTTCTAGTCCACCAGGCTCCCTTGGCCCCCTGCTGGGCAATCGAATCCCAGTCTCCCACGTGATGGGCTGGGGAACACACCACTCTATCACTGAGGAAGGATTTAACCAAGGGTGCCTCTTAAATGAGCCACATGCCTTAAATGGGTATTCCTTTCCAAATAGCTATGCAATAAGGAACTGTGGTTATTTTTAATATGCTAGACACTACTATGAATTTCTTTTTTCTTAGGAAATATGTTCAGAGATACATAATTTCACTGGGATTTTAAAACGATTTTATTTTAGTCTAGATTTGAAATATTATTCCTACCCAACACATTAAAAAATAACTACTTGGGAAAGAAAAAAGAATGTCATAGTACATTAATTACTACTCTTTCAAAAATATTTATAAAGCAAACAATAGATTCTTTTTTTTCTTAAGCAATGCAGTAATCCAAGAATGTGGTTCACGAGTTAAGTATGTGTTCAGAACAATTAAGAGAGAAGTATCACCATAATATTGCTTCAGTGAGCTAGCAAAGGTAGAAAGGAATCAATCCACCTTAAATGTTAGAAAGCAATGCTTTTCATCCAAACGAATAGATGACTAATAAATCATAAAAAGGGTTATAATGTGAAATATCCTGCCAATCTTGAAGCAATCAGCTAAAATTCTAACTCTCCATTTACTAATTTGAGAGATTACATGCTGAGAAAAATGCCAGCACATTAACAATGAACAGTCTCTTGAGTACAGACAGCATCGACTATCATATTTATGAAAATGACAAAGTAGAAAAGTCATGACATATTACATACACCCTCCCTCTCTTCCCTCACCCACCTAGTATCACCACTCCCCTTATTGGTCCTGAGGGCTTTATCTGTCCTGGATTCCCTCTGTTGTGAGCGCTTATTTGTACCAGTGCACACTTTCTGGTCTAGCCAGATTTTTAAGGTAGAATTGGGGTCATGTTGGGGGGTGGGGAAGGAGGGAAGAAGCATTAAAGAACTAGAGAAGAGTTGTGTGTTTCTTCCGTGCTATACCGCATCCTGATTGGCTTGTCTCTTCCTTGTGACCCTTCTGTAAGGGTATTGACTACTTATAGGCTTTGGGTCTCCACTCTGCTCTTCCCATCATTCACATCGATATGATTTTTGTTTTGTTTGGGTCTTTGATGCCTGGTACCTGATCCCATCGATACCTCATGATCACACAGGCTGGTGTGCTTCTTCCATGTGGGCTTTGTTGCTTCTGAGCTAGATGGCCCCTTGTTTATCTTCAAGCATTTAAGATCCCAGATGCTGTATCTTTTGATAGCCTGGCACCATCAGCTTTCTTCAGCACATTTGCTTATGCACCCATTTTGCCTTCAGGGATCGTGTCAGGGAAGGTTAGCATCACAGAGTGCCGGGTTAGTAGAACAAGGTGTTCTTGCATTGAGGGAGTACTTGAGTGAAGGTCCAACGTTCTTCTGCTGCCGTAATACTTTATAAATAAATACACGTACATAGATATATTCCCCTATCATTATATATAAGTGTATTTACATGCATACATGTCTGTATTTAGACCTTTGTGGAAGGGAAAGTGAAACAGAATGAAAGACTGACTAATTATGCAGCACTTCGGAAAAGACAAGGGTAGAAAACTAGACAGAAAACAAAAACACACCAGAGCAAGATAAGAGGGAGAGAGGGACAGAGAGGACTGCATCCTGGCCCACCAGCCTGGAGGCCGACATTCCTGCTTGGGGCAGCCACTGCACAAAGAGGACTGTAGGGCTGGCCCCACCACTAGATATGACGCCCCTTCACTGATCACAGCAGTGCGGAGGGACAGCACTGGAGACAGAGTGCAGGAATTGTGCCGGGTCTTACATTCCCCCAACACCTTCTCCGCTGGGGCGAAACACAAAGGGAGCACAACAGAGCAGCATGAGGAGCAAAGCAACCGGAGGCCCTGAGAAATCCTGAAAATAAACTTCGGAATCAGTGGGCAGAGCTTGGCACCTCACCAGACCTCCTGGGAAACATTCAAAAGGGTCAGCAGACAGACTTGGAAACTATTTATAAGCTTTTTTTTTTTTTTTTTTGGCCTAATGTCTATCTATATAAGAGGCAGATTAAACAACCCCAAGGAGAAAACAACAAGGCTAATGGTTCCGGAGGGACAGGGGGAGAGGAGGAGGTAGGGGAAAGAGAGTGGGGAGCCAACAAACCCAGGGACAAGGGAACAACAAGAGATCTAAAATCGATGATGAGGAGAGCATAGCATAATGCCTGGTAGGGTTTGATCAAGGGCAATGTAGCCAAGAGGAATTACTGAGAGGCAAATGAAGGTCGACTATGATAGTGGGACAAGAGTAAAGTAAAAGGAAATAGAGGAAAGAACTAGGAGGCAAAAGACATTTATAGAGATATAAATATAGGCATTTATATATATGTAAATATATTAATACATAACAATAGGGATGTAGGTATATGTACATATATTTAAATGTTAAGTATTAAGGTAGCAGACAGACATTGGGTCTCTACTCAAGTACTACCTCAATGCAAGAACACTTTGCTCTAATAACCTGGCATTCTGTGATGCTCCCCTACCCGACATGATCACTGAAGACAAAATGGGTCCATAAGCAAATGTGACGAAGGAAGCTGACGGTGCCTGGGATCTGGGGTCTTAAAAGCTTGAAGTTAAACAAACGTCTGGGGTCTTAAAAGATACAGCGTCTGGGGTCTTAAAAGCTTTAAGTTAAACAAGCGGACACCTAGCAGGGAAGCAACAAAGTCACAGGGAAGAAGCACACCAGCCTGTGTGATCATGTGATGTCTATAGGACCAACTATCAGGCATCAGAAGACCCACAACAAACAATTATATCGATGTGAACAAGGGGGGTCAGAATGGAGATCCAAAGCCCATCTGTAGGCAACTGGACATAATGAGGGGCACAGACGGGTAACAAGGAAGGGACGAGTCAGCCAGGGTGCAGTATAGCACCAAGGAAACACCAAACAATCCTCTAGTTCTTTAATGCTTCCGTCTCCCCACTATCATGGCTCTAGTTCTAATTTACAAATCAGGCTAGACTGGAGCATGTACACTGGTACAGAAAAGAGCTCTCTACACATGGAATCCAGGACAGATAAACCCTTCAGGAACAGTAATAGGAGTAGTGATACCATGAGGATAGGGGGAAGGTGAAGGGAAAATGGGGGAACCAATTGTAATGATCGACATATAACCCACCCCCCCAGGGTACGAACAACAGAAATGTGGGTGAAGGGAAATAGCAAGTGGTACAAGACATGAAAATAATAATTTGTAACTTATCAAGGGTTCAGGAGGGTGGGTGGGTGGGGGAGGGATGAAAATAAGGGGAGCTGATACCAAGGGCTCAAGTAAAAAGAAAAAGTTTTTAAAATGATGATGGCAACATATGTACAAATGCGCTTGATAGAACTGATGTACGGATCATTATAAGAGCTGTAAGAGCCCCAAATAAAATGATTTATAACAAAAGGTGAAGAGAAAATTAAAACAGCCTTCCTTTGGTAGTTAATAAGGCAATCACGCAGCTGCTAATCAAAAGGCCAATGGCCTGCACCTCCCCTGCTTGGGAGAGAAAGGCAGGGCAGCGTCTGCTTCTGCCTTAGATGCGCATCCTTGGGAACCTTGGCCCAGTTCTACTCTGTGCTGCAGGGTGCTACGAGTGGGAATCAGCTCAAATTGGTCATGTGAGCATATTATTTTCCCATTATTGTGCTGGCTGTTCATCTCCTATATTTGTGGGAGTTCTTTATATATGTTGGGTACATATATTTTATTGAATATTGGCATTGTGAGTATTTTCTACTGTGCTGTAAATTACCTTTTTATTATGTTAATGGTATCTTCATATTGTTTTGATTTTAATTTGGT